GTAATCACCGGCCAGCAAGGACTGGATTTAAAGAGGAAACCTCTTGACTGCAAGATCACAAGTCAGGAGCGTGGACGGAGGCCTGGGGAAGGGACTGAGTGACAGAAAAGGCTAGTTCTGGGCGTTTCCTCGAGGTGGTCCCTCCTTACCTGATAACAAAGGATGGTTTGCTGCACCAGCCGCGCGTACCCGTCCAGGCGGACCCCGGAATTGCTCCTGCTCCGCATATTCCCGATGCTCCGGGGCGGGGGCGCCCGACCTGCTGCGCTGAGCGGAGACGCCCGAGCGGACCTGGTTCCCAGACACGCACAGCCTAGGGCGGCTCTCGGGTTGGGGGCCGAAGAGGTCGAGACTTTTTTGAAATGACAGAACCAGAGTGTGATGCAAAGCTAGCCAACCAGAGTTTCGCACGGCGGGGAGGCGCGGGGGCGGACACCGGGGCTGGCGTGCGGGCGGCCCCGCCTAGGCCAGGCCTCCACACTCCCGCGCCTGCAGGGCCCGGGTTCCAGGCATGCGGGGAGAACGCCTCCGCCAAGCCTCTTGTGTCTTGGGGCGGTCTGAGAAGGCCCCGGGGCAGCCACCACCCCTCCCCGAGGCGGGAGACACAGGCCTGGCCACCGGGGCGTTCCACCCCGGTCAGTTCACAGCCCGCCCCCGCCCCGGCGGAACCCACGGAGTCCAGCCTCAGGGGCACGAAGCTACCCCTCCACGCTCCTTTCCTTACCCGCCGGCAGTCAACCCTATCCGAGGCGGGAGAAACAGGCCCGCCCACCGCGGTCACCTGGGCGCCGTGGGCCCGCCCCGCGCGGAGCGCAATCCGCCCAGCTAGGCCGGAGCGGGAAGGAGAAGGAGACGGCCTGCTGCGGCCCCGCCCCCGCTGTACGCCACTCGGGCTTCACAGCTCCGCCCCAGCCGCGAACCCACTGAGGGCGTGAAGAGTCGCCGCTGGAGGGGGAAGGGAAGAGTGTGGCTGGTGGGAACAGCCCGGGGCGGGCCTCCAAGCCCACCAGAAACCTGAGAAACGGGCCGCCCACGACGACCCACTGGGCGCCTCTCCGTGGGCCAGGATCGTAGCCTTGCCCCTGGGCTCGCCCCCGCCGCCGAAGGAAACCTAGTAGTGAGGCCCAGCCGGGAAGGGTAAGAGGGCGGCGGGGGCAGGGTTCCCGAGCTGTCCCCAGCCGCATGCGCGCCGCTCCCTGCACCAGGCACAACCCGATACTCCTAAAACTTAAAATGCTTTACAGTTTCTGGTGGCAGCTAATTACCTACAATTCAAAATCCTCGGCCCTGTATTCATTGCCCACCCAAATCTAACACCCATATGAACTACACTGGACAGCTAGGCTAATGCAGTCATTTCTGCAAGCCCTTTGCTAGTCTCCGTGTATTTACCCAGTAGGCTCTTTCTCCTTGCCTGTCTGAGCCCTATCTTTCCTTTAAGGGCCAGCTCCGCTTCTCTCTCCTATTAACCTTCCCCAGTCTTTGAATTCCCACAGCAATTTCTTTAGTAAGAGTTTAGGACTTGGAGTCAGACCAAATTAAGTTCAAATGCCAGTTCTGCCATTTACAAGTTGTGTGATCTTCAGCATGCTGTTTTAGCTCTTTGAACTTCAATGTTCTTGTCTGTAAAATGGGGATAATAATAGCACTTACCTCATAGGGAGGCTATGAAGATCAAGAGGATAATATAAAGCACTTAGCAGCATGACTGGCCGGTAGGGAAGTACCTAGTAAACCATAGCTGTTTGCATCATTTGGCAATAATGTATTGCCTCATATTGTTATTTATGTTTTCATACATGAATGAGACATGTTTTTCTAACTGGGTTGTAAGTTCCTCATTGGAACAGATTTTGTCCTATCCTGTCTGGTACAGTGTTGAGCATGTAGTTGGAGCTCAATTAATGTTGGCTGAATGTATGAATGACAATCAGTCTTGCTCAGCTGGGTTTCCTTATGTTTGGTCCTTAACCACACTCATGTTAGATATTCCAGAACATGAATCTGTGGCTTTACTCCATCACTCAACTAAAACACCAAACTCATCAGGTGACATACTTTTTGTCTTCTTACTATTGTTCTTGAATTATGCAGCAATCCATGTTATGTGCCCCCATACAGAGTTTGCTATGGCCTAGGAGTAAATAAGGAGTCCCTGAGTGGCACAAACAGTTAAGCGCTCGACTGCTAGTTGAACGGAACCCATCCAGAGGTGACTCGGAAGACAGACGTGGTGATCTGCTTCTGAAAGGGCACAGCCTTGAGAACCCTATGGAGCAGTTCTACTCTGCACACAAGGGGTCACCATGAGTCAGAATCAACCGGAAGGCAACAACAGGAGTAAATAAAACTAGACATTAAGTTACCATTAAATCTCTTTTCAGAGTCAGGATATATACTCTTACTAGAATTCTCCTGTAGTCTTCTGCATTTAAAAGCTGGGATCATGGGTTCTTTTTTTACTGTTTTTGTTCGATTGGGTGTTTCTTCAGGAGTCCATTCATTTTGCAGCCGTAGTGGAAATATCTGGTAACTTTTGCTCATTACCTAGCATTTCCATCCAGCATAGAAACATTTTCAGTTTCTTGATCTCATTCTTTGTCAATTCTACTACACACACACACACCCCTCTTTTGGTGTATAGCCAGTCTACATTCTTAGGCTTTGGTCTATGCATTAATGAACATTGTCATATAAGCTGTGTTTCAATAAGCTTGAAATTCCGTAATAAAATATAATGCAAATCAAGAAGGCAGGCTATTTCTTTTTAGCTTTTAAGTTCCCAATGTCAGTGATTCATTTTGGACTAGGAAGCTGTGCTATATAAGAATCAGTCTCATATCTTAGTAGCCTCATGTCCCTGAGATACAAAACCTCCGTATCTTGTCCCTCTTACCCATGAAGACTTTCTCTTGTTATTACCCAACAGAAATCTGTCTTCAAGTCATTTCTTAAATATTTGTCAAGGATCAGATAGGGTATGGACAGGGTATGTTATTATTTGTATCTGAAGCCAATTCTGATCTTCGTATAGATGAAAACCTAGCAGTGGGCCCTGGGGTGCTACCATATATGACTTGTCTGACTTCTACCAGAGGGTGTGCCCATTGTCATGTCACAGGGCTTCTGCCCAGGCTACACATCACCGTCCCAATGGAAACCAACAAGTTTCTCTTGAGGGCTCAGGTCTTTGACTCTAAAGAAAAGCAGTCCACCTTTTGACTCAGAGGAGAGGGTCAATTCTAAATTGATTTGCTGAAAATTGCCAACTTGCCAAATTTAGTTATTTCTATAACAATTTTAGTTGATAGGATATAATTTTGTTTTTCATCATAATATTTTAAGGAATGTTGAATTTGTCTCTGTTCCAGCTTCCTATAGCTAGTTTGAGACTGAGGTAAAGAGAGAAAACACTGGGGAATATCATAATAACATATATATGTGTTTATGTGTGTGACAGAGATGCAAATATATACTAAGATTTCTTCATGGTGAAGAATATATTTATGGAATATATTTAATATATTATTGAAGAATATATTCAATTTGTCTGCCCCAATTTGTCGATGCTGTAAACCTGGAGACTGAAGAGGAAAAACGAAAGAATATACTGATAAGAATTCTTCACATTCAAGATTATGTTCTTCTGGGTCAGTTCTACTCTGTCCTGTTGGGTCGCTATGAGTTGGAATTGACTCCACGGCACACAACAAGAACATGCCCCTTCAGACTCCAAATTGCAGCAGTGAGAAGCTGAGGCAGAGACAAACTGAACAGACCTTAGCATACTGTTATGGAAACAAAATGACACCAAATAAGTCCATTTGGAGAATTGGTCATTTGGTAAATGAGCTCTTCGTGGAAACAGCCTTCAGCAAACTGACCTGCTTCCTGGGTAACCTCATTAGATACAACCCAGTATCCCAAATGAAACTATTTCACTGCTCTGAATGACAATAATCATGATGCTGCTCACTAGAGTTAACAGAGTTCCTTTGTGGGGTTAATGACTGCAGTGTGTTTTGGGGGCAAACTTCTCCAATGTTCGGAGGAAATGCTTCTTCAAATACTGGCCACTGCTCTGACATTCTTTGCTTTCTAGTATCGGCACCACCTCTGTCTCCTTATACTAGAAGCTCAGATCGTTGGACCACTTTTAAACCCAAAGGAGGATACTTCTCAGGAACATTCTATTCTCTCTGCCCTGCCCCTTATCTTTCTAAAGTAAAAAACAGAGCTACTGACAAGAGAGTTTGGCTTAAAGCCCAGACATAACCATTACTAAACATTTTGATCAAAGATTCTATATTAGAATCCTGATCAAAAGGGGGAAAATGCAGAACAGAACTTCAAATTCTCATGGACTGCAGACTTTCTGGAGCCATGAAGGCTGGATGAACCCCTGGAACTATTGCCCTGAGACCAAAAATATCCCCTGAAGTCTTCTTAAAACCAAACAATAGTTTAGCTTAACTAGTAAAAAATGTCTGCCTTGAGCATTATGCTCTTTTGAGAACTATCTATATAGGATCAAAGTGACAACAGCAACTTGAAAGATTAGACAGGAACCTTATGGGGCAGTGAGTTTATATTAATAGGGGAGGAACAACTCAGAAAAGGAGGGTGAGAATGGCTGCACAACTTGAACGTAATCAATTTCACTGAGCTGTAGATGTAGAAACAGTTGAACTAGTGTATGTTTTGCTGTGTATATACTCAACAACAACAAAATAAATTTTAAAGAAAGAAAATACACAATAGGCAAAAAGGGAGGAAGGATCTAAAGAACATGAGATATTGTGCATCTTTTTATGTACACTTTAGTTACATAACCTGCCTCAGGAGATTAGTTCCTGAGAGGTCTCACACCCCAAATCCTGAGTATCTCACCACCTTCTTTGCAGCAACTGAGGATCTTGGAAGGACAGACTGCTCAGAGGCTGCTTACAGGGATGAGGCCAGCTTCTCCCTTTGTGGCTCCTACATGCTAACTAGCTCCTCAGAAACCCCAAATCCCGTCTTCGCCATCTTGAAATCCTCCTGTTTGATGCTGAGGAAGCAGGAATGTGGAGAATCAGAATCCGGGGCTTATGTAGGCCAATGACAACATGTGTTAAAGGAATCCTCTTGAAAGAATAATGGGAAAATGGAGAAGAGGACTCAGAAACTGGTCTCATGAGGCATAACAACTTTTGCTCTAATTTCAAAGTGTGCCTGCTGTTTCCCATGCGATATGACTGTTGTGTTGGTCTTAATCAGGCACGCCTTTACCACCTCACCCGTGCCACGCTGCCCGAGAAACAGACTGCAAACATTTTGTCTTTGTGAAAGTTATTAAACGTACTTAACTACAAATTTATTTGGTCGATTGTAACATTTTTTGTCGACTGTAACATTTTTTTTGTCGATTTTACCATATAAATACAAGACAATTAAATAAATCCAAGAAGAAAGATTGCAAAGGCAAATCAGCACTCACAGAAATGTATTCCATTATTACTATGATTAGCCTGGGATACAACGTTCACTTGAAATATATGCAAGGGAACCTTAGTGAAAGACCTAAAGGGTTTTGAAATGTTCCTAATGAGGACATACTGAGGCAGTGCTCAAGAAGCTGTAGGTGGGAAGCAAAATAGACCCTATATAACTAGGAGCAGTCAAGGTTTGATATAACAAGAAACCATAGCAATGCAGGATAGTTCGCTGTCCCCAGTAGCTGCTCCCCGTTGTCACTCTACACTCTTCCAGACTTGTTTGAAAAAAAATAATTCTAGCTCTGGCTAGGCCCAAGTGTAGCAGGCATTAACAATCAACAGCGTAGCAGGCGTTAACAAAGTACCATGTAGTTGCCTTACTTTTAAAGAACGGCAATATGATTTTTTTCCTAATATAGATCCTTTTTAAAAAGTAATCCTACTCTACTCCCCTCTTCTGAAAGGCTCCGGGGATTTGAGAAGTGGCAGTGTATGTATCTCTTCCACAGTCACAATTTTCCTGACATCCGGTCTAGATTACAGTTCCATCCCTCTCTGTGGCTAAGGTATTAAGCTAAACATCTTGGTGCAGATTCCATCATCTGATAATTAGGGATGAGGTTGGGGCTGGATATTGGTATTGGGCGCCGCAGACAGTTGTACAGGTTGTACCCTGCACAAGGATGCACAGCTAACCGGGTGAGTGGGCTAAAATTTGGCCCCACCGTTTGCCAAGCCACCAGCCCGTGGGGCTGTGTCCTCCCAGTAGGGGTGCCTTTTTCTAACTCTCCCAAAGACATTCACTGTACAGCTCATTGTGGCACTGTCTGCTGACATTCTATCTGGCCGGCATGGTTCTTTTTTCTTTAAATTTCAGTGAAGTTGCTGTATTTCACATCCCATATCATCTCCAAATAGAGCTTTAGAATTCACTGAACCAGCAAAGATTTTCCGAGTTATCACATTACATAAAACAACATAACCAGAATTCTACAAAAGAATAAATTTACACAGTAGAAAATAAATATAAAAAAGGGAGAAGTAAGATTGTTGACATGTAGGTCACTAGACTTGAGCTTATATACAACAGGAGCATGCACAACTAAACTCACCAACAGGCTGAAGCCAAGGGTTGCTTTATAGGACGTTATCAGAGGGAACTTAACCTCTTTAAAAATGTGGCCAGCAACTGACTAACTTTTTTTTACATAAATCTTATTCTCAGTGTGTTGTTTAAAACCAGTCTTTTAAAACAAAGGATAAGGCACCACACTGCAAATATAATGCCTTGGCTTTCCCTTCCCACAGGAACCACTGCCCTCAATGAACGTATGCCCCTCCCGAGGTTGCTGAGTATAAAACAAATTGGTTTTCGTACATCTCACAGTGCGTAAAAGGTAAAAATGGACATTTTCACACTGTCAAGCATCATGCTTTGATTTTAGAAAAAGGAATCACATTTGCTCAATAAAGTGTAAGCTTCCCCGTTTTGAAGTCCTTCTGAATGCGATACGGCTTTTCCCGTTGCACGAGTCTTCTTTCTCATTAAACACGTGCTGTTTTCCAGAGAACTCATGAAGGCACACGTCTCCATTCTGAACGCTGAAAGAAACGCCGTTCCTCTCCGTAGAAGCATTCCCTGTAAAAGGAGAAGCTAAAGCAGTAGCATGAAGTATTCACAGGAAACATAAAAAAGAACTAAACTCGAACACCACTTTATTCATATGCCTGGTTTAAAAATTTCTACGATAGACTGTCATACTTTATTTACTTTTCATTCCTTCCCTGAGGGCTCTTAAAATAAGCCAAACAAATTGGAGATTGATTCAGAAACTGGTTCGCTATGGCAGTTTTTGTTTTGGTTTTTATGAAACGGATGACATATTTAGGAAGGCGATGTAGTGAATTTTTAAAGTCCATTTCCTAACTCCAGTTGGGCATAGATTGACTTCAAGGAGTAGCAAATGTGCAGTATAGCCTAATGTAATATTGTGGTTTCCCAAAAGGTTAAGGTTAACACAGGTTCTCACATGTACCCTTACAAGGTTCTTGGTTCTCTGAGATTCCTATAAAATGGAAACTTTGTACTAGAGAAACCTAGAGAGACCAGCTACGACAGTCAAGGCAGGAAGAAATCATCTCTTTCCTAGACTAAACCAGCCCCTCTGACTACATCAGGACATGAATGATTCCCAAGAGGAAACCACCAATTCCAACGTAAGAGAGGGCCAGGGAGGAACTGGGCTTTCTAGGGCAATTGTGCATTGGAGCTATGCCTCCTTTATCCCAAGCAGGCCCTGAATAGCAGGGGAACACAGCTACAGCTGTCTTCAGCTACCTACTGTCATCCTTTTGACCATTATACCACTGGGAAATAAGATAGAAAGCTGAATAAGCAGCCCGTTTGTTAGTTCATGACATAATAATAATAATAACAGTGTTAAGAATGCTGTAAGTATTATCTCACTTATAACCCTATGGGGTGGGTACTATTATTGTCCCCATTTCACAGATGATGAAATGGAGGTTTCAGAAGTTAAGTGCTTTGCCCAAGGTTACCCAGCTCAGAAGTGATGGAATCAACATGGGATGTTTCTGACACAGCTGAAACAGGGCCTGTGATTTTCTGAGGCAGCTGCCCTGATTTGGTCATTTTGGCTTCAGGACATTTATATAGAGTTTGACCTGTCATCATAAACCGTTAAACTTTCAGCTTCTTTTTGGAAATTGCTAAGTCACATGGGTGATAGGTATCACCACCCTATTCCATCCCTCAGCCATCCCAATGGGGACCAGGGAGTTAGGGATGTCCACCTGACATGCATATTAAATATTTGGCCATTTTGGTGGCCTTAAAATGCACCCCAAGCTTGCTGTCAGGCATCAAAAATAGCTGTGTCAAATCAGTCTTGTCAAACAGCCTTGTCAAAATGTGCTGCTTCCATCAAATCCTATTCCTGGAAGGATGACAATACATTCATAAGGCCAGGCAAGTGAGGCTTCATCTCTGAGCTCTTTCTAGAATCTGAAAAAATCTGGTTAATGGATTAAGAGCTCCAAGCACTTCTATCCAAGCCAGTAGGCTTCCTAATTCTTGATGACCCACCCTGCTCCTCTGATTTCTCTATTTTGAACTGCTTTCTCATGCCCTGGTGGCACAGTGGTTAAGAGCAATGGCTGCTAACCAAAAGGTCGGCAGTTCGAATCCACCAGACGCTCCTTGGAAACCCTATGGGGCAGTTCTACTGTGTCCTATAGGGTTGCTATGAGTCGGAATCCACTTGACAGCAGCGAGTTTGGTTTGGTTTGGTTTTCTCATGCCAGCTTCTTAACCAGCCTGGATTCCCACCACTTCAACTCTGATTACCTACATTTACCATATTTTTACACAAATAACGTGCGCCTTCTACATTTGTTTGCCAATCACACCATCCCCCCCATGAGATTTTTTGGTAAGCACTACTATGCCAATTTTTTTTACATGTTGCTGTAAAATACCTGCGGTGGGGGGGGGGGAGCGTTCGGTTGGCAAACAAACACAGAAGGCACGTTATTTGCATAAAAACACGGTAGTCATTCCTGATAGAAGCTTTTGACGCAGAGCCCAGAGCTTTCCCTCTGGTATCTACAGTAAAGATATAAGGCCATGTGGCGCTGCTTGTCATCTTTTAGGACAGTAGTTCTCACCAAGGGGCAATTTTACCCCCCAGGGGACATTTGGTAGTGTCTGGAGACAGTTTTTGTTGTCATACCTGGTGGGGGGGAGTACTATTGGCATCTAGTGGGTAAAGGCCAGGGATATTGCTAAATATCTTACAATGCACAGGACGGACCCTCACAACAGAGAATTATCCAGACCAAACGCCCGCAGTGCTGAGGTTGAGAAAGCCTGCTTTAGCAGAATCCTATTACATTTTACAAGTCTATACAAACCAGCAGGACCTCCCATCTTTGGGCAATTAGAAAACTATTTGGTAGATGTACGAACCTTCTCATAAACTTTATTTGAACTAGTCATAAACAGCGCTACTATCCTAAAACAATGAATAAAGGCAAATAGGATCGTATTCTCCAGAGAAGGGGAAAGTATACGAGCAGAACTGACGTTTTTATAAAAATGCAAAAGATACATTAAAAAGCAAAAGGTAGAGGGAGATAAGATAAAGCTTTCATGAGTAATACACAGCCCAGTTTGAGGAAAGAAAAAGTGTAATGAAAGTTTCCACTAGAAATGTCAGAATTAGAGCAAAGGAGGCTCAGCGGTCACCTGTACATGTTGGTGACCTATATGGCTACCAACACTGCTCACAAGTCATCTTGTGGTATCTGGTATATTCGTGGGGATCTGGGCACTGTCACCATGCAGCCACAGTGAGGGAAACAATTAACCAACATGACAAGCAACAAATACGAAGGCTTCAAAGGGTCAAAAATGTACATGACGACATATGCAATACAAACCGATCTCGTCTCATTGACTACGTTAGGTACTGCCCTCACAGAAACAGCACAGTACTGAAGCCTTTGAACAAGACTTCCATGACGACTAGCAACATTAAAACTTTTAGATCATCATCACACCCCATTGTGAAAAAGGAAATCTTAAAAAATAGAGACAGAGTTGTTCTGGTATTTGCTCTAAAATGAATTAATTCATTTGGATTATTAAACTTTCTCTTTTAGAAGGGAACCACATTTTGATCCATTCATCTTCCATTTGCTTCACTTTGCTTAGCAAAAATGCCATTCAAGGAGAAAACTATGAAAAACAAAAACAAAAACAAACACTAGTTTGAGAAATACTATATTGAGACATACGTACCATTCCCGTCTACATGCACTGAGCAATCATTATTCACTAGGAGTGTGGTGGAGTTAGTGGAGTTACTGTTTGACTGCAAGGAATTTGAAGAGCTGGACACTCCTTGGTTTACAGTCTGCTTCTTTAAACCATTAGTAGCAGTTTTACTCCAGTCTACAGCAGAATAAGCATTACAGAAAAACAGGGCGGTATGTTGAAGCTCAAATGCAAGAGGCAGATCAGTGTAACAAGTTCTAGCAACTACTTTCTCACACATTTCACAGGCTGGTGTGATAAAATGTATTTTACTTTAAGGTGATATACGCTTGTCCTTTAAATGACTACCTGGTTAAAAGTCACCTATATTCTTCGGGAACTAAAGGCCAAGCTAGTTTGATTGTGTCTACAAAAATTCATTGAATTAGGTAGTCATTCAGAAGCACTGACTGTCTTCCCCAGAACACAAATCACTGATGGTTCTTAAATCCATGGAAATGACTGAACTCTCTGTGCACTGTTATTTTCTGAGTGCCAACCACTGTGTTCCCCCAGATACTGCAAAGGTGGTATCCATGGGTGGTACTGATGGAAAGGAGTCCCTGGGTGGTACAAATGGTTACCACGGTTGGCTGCTAACTGAAAGGTTGGAGGTTCGAGTCCACCCAGAAGCGCCTCAGAAAATCAACCCTTGAAAACCCTGAGGAGCACAGTTCTACTCTGACACACACAGAGTCACCATGAGTCTGAATCAACTCAGAAGCAACTGGTTTTTTATTGATGCAAAAGGAATTCAAGCTTTTCAAATATTACTTCATTTTTCCTATTTTCTTAAAAATGAGCTATTCGTTACAATAAGGCGTATGTGAAAATAACTTCAAAATAACCAAATTTATGCTAAAGCTTATATAAAAAGTCCGGCCCATTAACAAACTAAGCAACTGACAACCAGGACCTGTGGAGAAAAGGTTGAGTCCAGGCTTAAAAAATTATAAAGGTAAATTTTCAAAATTACTTTGGGTAAATGAAAAGCATGAGTCAAAAGGACATTAAGTCTAAAAATTTCACTGTTGCTTCATGCAAGAGGCAGCCAACCCACTAATTCTATTGCTCCCTAAATTCCCAGATATGAATGTAATTACTTTTTAGTTCACTAGGTTTTTAAGAAATGTTCAAAACCAATCTTTTCTGTTGAGCAGGTGCCGTTCACAGATTTCTGGATTGGATGACCCTTTGGCAGTGACTGCTTGGGATCTTAACTTACACAATCTTTACCTCAAGATTTAAGAGGAAGGCGAAAAGTAAGGTAAATCTTTACCAGAATTTTCAGCCAGCCGTAACTTTCCACAACAAAGATACCGCCTCCACTGCTTCCTGACATTCTCTTTTGCTACACAGTAAAAGATGAATATGAAAAACCCTAAGGGAAAAAACAAAAACATAACACGATGAATTCCAAACGAAGACCTGGATGCCCATGAGCTTACTTTACACAAAAGAAATTCTTTGGCAGCTGTGGGCCAAGTGAAATCTTGCAAATTGAATAAACCATTTTGATGCATGGTGACCCCATGTGTGTCAGAGTAGAACTGTGCTCCACAGGGTTTCCAATGGCTGATTTTTCAGAAGTAGATCGCCAGGCCTTTCTTCTGAGGTGCCTCTGGGTGGACTCAAATCTCCAAACTTTCGGACAGCAGCTGAGTGCATTAACCCTTTGCACCACCCAGTGGCTCCTGTTAATTCAATAAAACATCTAAAGTTGTGGCAAAGCTTACCATGGAAGGGCATCCCAGGGGTACTCTCTTTGTAAGATAGACTAACATCACATTTCCAAAATTAAACTCACCGGCTCCCCTGTCACATCCTGTCCTTGGCCTGCATTCCTGTCGTGGAAGTACAAGCCTTCCATCCACCCAGGAGTCCAGGGCAGACTTAGGTTCCTCCCTCTCCATCTCCAAGTTCTGTCAAATGGCATCTCCTCAGTCACCTCACACCCCTCACCTCCTGTCCAGTCAACTGCCATGTCCCTTGTTTGAGCCTTACTCGCTCTGGTCTAGGCCACTCCATCATTTCCTCGTATGCCCCCTGCCTCCCTCTACCACACAGAAATTCTCCACTGGCATCCTGGCAAATACAGAGCAACACTAAAGGCTCGAAGAGGGCCCTGGTGCTCCACCTGCCACCCACCTCTGTCCTCAGCTCTGCAGCACAGGGCTCCTTACATAGCCCCATCTGTGCCACTCCCCCAGGCTTCTGCCAATAAGTATTTGTTCAACGAACAGATGGATTCTGAGTTCTCTCTCTTTACAATCCCCAACACATCTAACTTTAAATCTGCATTTTAAAATATAAGGCTTGCTATCGGGGGGTGGGTGCATGAGCCCACCTCAGAGACTGATAGCTTGACTACTGCACACCTGTGTTCATTTGCCACCCTAGAAGGCTGCCCCTGGTGGCATTAAGGGAGGAACAGCATGTATGAGAGAGCTCAAAATGAGGATACGCCATTCACGAATCAGAACCTATCCATGTTGTTATTAGTTTCCCTTGAGTCAGGTCTGATTCACGGAGAACTTATATATACAACAGAACGAAATGTTGCCCCATCTTGTGCTATCTTCATGATCTTTGGTATATGTGAGTCCAAGGAGCCCTGGTGGCATAAACGGTTAAGCGCTTAGCTGCTAACCAAAAGGTTGGTGGTTCGAACCCATCCAGCAGCTCCGCAGGAGAAAGGCCTCGTGATCTAGTTCCGTAAAGATTACAGCCAAGAAAACTCTATGGGGCAGTTCTGCTCTGGCACATAGGGTCACTATGAGTCAAAATCAACTCGATGGCACCTAACAACAACATGTTTGAGTCCATTGTTGCGACAATTATGTCAACCCATCTCATTGAGGATTTCTTCTTTAATCAACCCAAAAGCCTTATGAATTAGGCATTAGTCCTTTTATAGATGAAAGAATAAGTTCCTTCTCTGTATTCACATTCTAATGAGAAGATTTTTCTGAGGAGGTAGTTAGAACAATAAATTGGAGGGAAATGAAGAAAGAGGCAGGTTCAGTTTGCACATTAAATCTTTCAGGGTAGGTATGTTGTTTTCATGTCTATGATTAGTCTGATTCTGAGCATACTTTTAAAGTGTCTATTACTTTTTCCACACTATTGTTGGCACAAGAAGCCCTGCTGGCACAATGGGTAAGCACTCGGCTGCTAACCAAAAGGTCAGCAGTTCGAACCCACCAGCCACTCTGCGTGAGAAAAGACCTGGCGATCTGCTCCCATAAAGATTACAGCCTTGGAAACCCTATAGGGCAGTTCTAGTCTGTCCTATGGGGTCGTTATGAGTTGGAATCAACTTGGCAGTACACAACAACACTGCTGGCACCCTAAACCTTTTCTTAAAATCCTAAAAAGTGATTTGCTCCTTTTCCTGGTTTTCCTTTTAGTACTAGGGGACAGTGCTATGACACCTGGGTATACCAATTCGTGAACCGGTATGTTGTAGCTTAAAAACTAACAAGTGTATATAACCACAAGCATACTACCTGGCCTCCTCCAAATAAAGTAAGAACCGGTGGCCAAATTATGCATTGGAATTTCCTCTCCAGTTGGGCCTGCTTTGAAAACCAGCAAACGGATCTATTGCCTGATAAAAACTACAAGACGCTACTACAGGAGCAAAACGCAACAGGAAGAGAAAATGAGAAAAAGCAGAGGGCACAATTAAAAGGCACCCCAACAGGGGAAGTGAAATAAAAGGAAACCAAGGGCCAGTGAATTGTTGTCGTTATAATGTAAACTTATTAGCCTGCTCAGCTTTTAATGTCAACGCACTGCCATTAAAACTTCATCACAGTTGGCCAGCCTTTGATAACACTGACCTATAAGAATTGGTAATGTGCTTTCCTAAAGAATACCACGATGATGTTTCTGCAGCTGGGCTTCATTAACAAATGGAATTCTCTGAAGTAAAAGTCAATCAATGCACAGAGGTCCCAGCCCAGCAACTTCTCAGAATTAACCACAGGGCAAGAAGGCTGCTGCCCCACCAGCCGGCTGTCAGTTTGTGTACTATGGTGGCTTGCGTGTTGCTGTGATGCTGGAAGCTATGCCGCCAGTACTTCAAATACCAGCAGGGTTACCCATGGTGGAGAGGTTTCGGCAGAGCTTCCAGACTAAAGTAGACTAGGAAGAAAGGCCTGGCAATCTATGTCTAAAAACCCAATGGATTACAACAGAATATTGCCCGATATAGTGCTGGAAGATGAGCCCCCCAGGTTGGAAGGAACTCCAAGGACACAGTGGCCACAACAATGGACTCGGGCATACCAGTGACGGTGAAGATGGTGCAGGACCGGTCAACTTTTCACTCTGTTGTACATGGGGACGCCATGAGTCAGAGCTGACCCCAAGTCTACTAACTTCACATTCATCACTGTCTCCAAATCAAACACAGACTTAGGAGGTCAGAGTGGTGCACCCCCACAGGGACATCTATGGCATGTACACTTTTCTGTGCACATGCTCTACTTCAGTAAAAGTTAAAAAAAAAAAGGAAAAAAAGTAAAGCACCAAGTGAAGGAAGTGTAATTGGCTCGCTCAGAAAGTTCCTGGCAGGTTCCCGTCAATATGTTCTCTGTGCTGAGATAATGAAGAATACTAAGAAAAAAGCACCACTTCTTGAATTTAGCGAACACCTTTCTTTCAAAGACCTCAAAGCACCTTTTCTCATAGATAAACCTGTTTTTCAACGAATATACCTAAAACGACTAAATAAGCTACTTTGCAGATACTTTAGTAGCAATATATTCCTTTATAAAGAGCCCTGGTGGCACGATGGTAAAGCACTGGGCTGCTAACCAAAAGGTTGGTGGTTCGAACCCACCCAGGGGCTCTGTGGGAAAAAGACCTGGCAATCTGCTCTCGTAAAGATTACAGACTAGAAAACCCTATGGGCAGTTCTACTCTGTCACATGGGGTCACTGTGAGTCAGAATTGACTTGACAGCCCCTAACAACATATTCCTAACCTCTGCTGGAATACTTCCATTGTTGGGGAGCTCCTTGCCTTACAAGGCAGCTAATAAGCATTTTCTAATGCCCTACAGTTCTGTTCTCCATTGAGTTCAGGCTTCACACTGGCGGCACTTAGAGGCACCCTGGTGGCACAGTTGTTAAACGCTCAGCTGCTAACCAAAAGATCAGCAGTTCGAACCCACCAGCCACTCCTCGGTAGAAAGATGTGGCAGTCTCCTTTCGTAAAGATTTACAGCCTTGTAAACCCGATGGGATGGTTCTACTTTGTCCTATAGAGTCACTATGAGTCAGAATCGACTCGATGGCAGTGGATTTGGTTTGGGTTTGAGGATCATTCAGCTTGTACTAAATACTGTAGAGCTCACCTTGTAAGGTATTAAAGATGGCAAAGAGATACATGAATGTGACGTTAACTGGTCCCCAGGCAAAGAAGGCAAAGCCCCAAGTAATTCCCAGCAAAAATGTAAGGCCGGCAACACTCCTGAGGTCTTGAATACTGGTTTTCCGCTGGGCCCCCAGCTGCTTCTTCCTTTTAATTCGACAGAGCTGGACCAGGACCACAATGAACATGCTGACGTTCAGCAAAAATATCACACAGAAATATCCCACAACCGTAATATAGAATACAGCATTGCTGTTGATCCAGCAACTAGAATGGAGGGGGGGGGGACAGAAAAACATATTACAATGCTGAAATATATTTCGGCATGAATACAATGAATCTATAACGTTTGACTGAAATAGCGTCTACAAATACAAAAGAGAAAAATGATAAAACTGCTGTTCTCTACAACCATTTATAGCTCTAGGGAGAAAAAAAAATCTAAGAGAGTTTATTTTAGGGCACTTGGTGATTGAAAGTATTTAAATAATATCTTTTTTAAACATCCAGAATTTTACCCCTGTAAATCCTAGTAACTCTATTCCTTGTGTCTTTATTAATATAACTGGCATTTCATTTTTATCATAGGCGTACAAAAATGGTTCCAAAATACTTCTTTCTAATTCCTTTTTTTATACTTAAGTAGTACATGGCACTTGCAACTAGCTCATCTCATTATATCTGACTGCAAAGGCTGTTCTGTAAATTGTACTGGATTTCATTAGGTGAGAGTGAGTCAATATGCTGATTACGTCCTCCATTTCCTTGGAGGCTTTGTACTCACAAGTCATCAGGTGAACCATTGGGAAATTTCCCGTAGGATCCAAGCCCATAGTTATCTGGGGATATGACCAGGACTATAGCCACAACCACAGCTGGAACTCCTGGAAGATGGGAAATATTGGTCACCAACAGTTCTAATAACCAAAGGTAATGAGAAGAAAAATTAGAGATCACATTCTATATAATTCTTGTGGCAGAGACTGGCTAGTGTCTTGTGGCTAGAGACTGGGCACAGAGCTAGACATCTCCCAGTTTCCCTTGCAGTTAGGTACGTGTGGCCACATGACTAAGTTCTGGCCAATGGGATATGGGCAGAAGTGATCTGCTCCAACTCCATGCCTGCCCCAGAAAAACCTCCCGCACTATCCTCCATTCTCTTTTCCCCTACGTTCAGGGCAACCTTGGAAGTCATGCCTCCAGGCAGAGCCTCTGTTAGCTTGGATCCCTGAAGAACTGCAAGATCAGAGAAGACCCCTCCACTCCGTTAACAGACTGTGCGTGAGTGAGAAATTATCTTCTACTGAGATATCAGGGTTTATTCATTACAGCAGCTAGCGCTACCCTGAATTCACACGCTTCCGGAATGTAATTTTAAGGATCAGGTGTCAAGCAAAGTGAAGGGCTCCAAAATGTAAACCAAATGTTAGCCACAGTCAGCATACCATGATTACCAGTGTTAACCTGACTGTAAAACCCGCTGCCGTTGAGTCGATTCTGTGACACTATAAGACAGAGTAGAACTGCCCCATAGGGTTTCCAAGGCTATAATCTTTACGGAAGCAGACCACCACATCTTTCTCCAACAGAGCAGCTGATGGGTTCAAACTGCTGACCTTTTGATTAGCAGCTGGATGCTTAACCACTGTGCTACCAGGTCTCCGACCTAACTCCCAAAATGGAGTCACTTATGCTAAGCCCCATGTCCGCAAAATGAAACCTAGCTAGTTCCTATTTCCTGTAAATACCTGACCTTCCCAGGAGCCCAAATCCAAGTCAATCAATTGACTCTTCTGGAAATGGAAACCTAGGCTAGTCAATCAGGACTTGCCTGCTTAGTTTAACCTTGTTCAAAATTTCCCCTTTAGCCCAAATAAGGAAAGAAAATGCCCGCCAGCCACTCTAAAATTTGGCCAGTATTGCTTCCTTGTTCCTGTGTATCTACGACTACAAAACCCTTTTGCTTTATACTGACTTCCAGACCAGACATTCCCCGATACATCAACTGAAAAATAAAGCTTTTATGAGTTTGTACACAAATTTAATACTGTGGAAATTGTAATTTTTAACTCCAGCAACTCTGGATGAATCTTTAATTATGAAACCCAAAGTCCTCAAATGATTATATGGAACCCTTTGAAAGAGAGGAGTTTGACCTGGCTGATTTGGGGATGGTGACTGCCACTATCCTGATCCTCTCAGGCACTTCCGCTAAGACAAGGCTCAATGAGAAGGCTCCTCCCAGCTTAAAATGCCTTTTCCCTGGAAGGAGTCCTTCTCAGCCCTCCACCCATCCCCCTGCCCCACACTGCCACCTCCTGCTCTGCACGCAGACCAGCCTGACAATCTCAAGGCTCTAGTAAACAAAAAACAATTCCTTCTCACAGATGGGTACAGGTCCTGGCACAATCTCACATATTATTTCATTTAATTCCTTTGTGTTTGTACCTTCCAGTGACGCTGACATATTATGATTTCCTAAGCGAGATACTTTTCTAGAAACAAAATACTGGAGGTGGGGGAGCTTGTCCTTGAACTTTAAGCCCTCTACAAAGAAGACAGACTCCATGGCCAATGTCAGAAGTGGTGACTTATCTTTCTGGGACGAGTGGGGAAAAGCTGTTGTTCTTCACAAAGATAGGATGACGGACAGGGTAACAAGGGTGATGAAGGGTCTACAGTCCTGTTCTGTAGGCAATATGTAAAGGACTATTTAGCCTGAAAAGAGGAAGGGGCCTGGGGCGAGTGCTTTAAAACAGCAGAAGGTATACTGCATAGGAAGTCAGAAAGCCAGGCTCAGTTGTTTTCTAGCTTTGTGAATCACGTCATCACTTTGAGCCAGTTCTTTACCTGGAGTTAGCAATAAATGCCATGCTAACTTCACTGGCTTGTCTTAAATGGGGTTACTTATGTGAAAATACTTTGAAAAAGAGGGCATTACGTACACTGTTATATATCACTTGTGGATTATTGAAAAGATTCTGGCAGAAGAAGTATCAGCACATTATTTTTTTACCTCAGAGCAAAACCAAGACCACTTGCTAAGTGCCACCAGTGTGAAGCCTAAACTTAATGGAGAACAGAACTGTAGGGCATTAGAAAATGGTTATTAGCTGCCTTGTAAGGCAACGAGCTCTCCAACAATGGAAGTATTCCAGCAGAGGGTAGATTAACTTTAGTGAAGCATAACTCAAGTCAAGTTGAAAGAAGCTCCAACATTGAATGGGGAGTTGAATGAAGAAACCTTCCAGATCTTTGGGGAGTCTAAGACTTTGTGACCTACCACCAACAGGTCGCATGACCTGAAATATTGTGCCAGTGTGGCAAAGACGTTACGTTAGGCATGTGCTTTCTCTCACTCTGCCCTTCTTGAGCATACCATCATGCGTACATGTGATATCTGGGAGGTACAAAGAGTGAGGTTCGCTGGGAGCCTGGGGACTGAGAGTTTAGCCTCATTACCACCAGCCTAACTTTTTCAATTTATCGAGCACCTTCTATGTGACAGTCTGAATTCCAGTTGCTGAGATACAAAGGGGATTTATGGCCCTAACTGCAAAGAGTTTTACGTTCATAACCAATCCAAAGGCAATATACAGGTGCTCTAGAAAGACTTGACAAGGTTGCTCTTGGAGCAGTTCAGCCTGTAAGGAGGGTAAAGCTGTTTTAGCAACCTGCCGGGTGTGACCTGCTTCATCAATGTCTCTACTTGATTATAAGTCAAAACACCGGAGAAAAGGCACAGAAAGTCCAGGCAAAGTGCAAGCAAAATCATACCTACCCCAGCCGACAATGCAGAACTTAAGGATATATTTTCGGATGTAAGTATTAAACACTTTGACAAGGGCCAGGTACATATGGAACGCTTCCAGGCCCATCCACGTGAATGAGACCAAGAGGAAATAATGAAGAAATACAGCCACTGAGATGCAGAGGCCTCGCATGTTATAGAGAGCAATCCACGAGTCCAGAAGGAACACCAGGTTCAGTAGGAGCAGAGCAGCACACAGCTGGATGAGGATTTTGGAAGGGTAATCCCTCCGGATCTTTCTACGAGGAAAGGACAAGAAAAGAATTAGCATGACATTCTGCCAGCCCTTATATGAGAATACCTGTCAGGTTGTCCCTGAGTTCTAAGCAATTTATTTTTATTGTTTGGTCAATGTCTAAATGCGTAAATTTTCTCTATTTGAGTGTGTGTGCATTGGGGCAGGGGGCAAACCACCATCAACAACAAAAAAGGAAAAATCTAAACAGGATTATCTGTGATGATCATATGGAAAATTATATATCTCTGTGGGACCTTTGACATGCTGACTGTTGACCCATCCTTTTAAATAGTTTGTAGTGGAATCCACTGTGAACCCACCCTATTTCTCCCAAACTACTTCTAGAAGCATTTCTGCTACTTCTCATAAACAGGCTGCTATAGTCAGATCTTCAAAATATAGCCAGATTCCCCTATTATGTTATTGGTTAAAATGAGATCATGGAAAGAAGAGCTTAAACTATAGCTAAATGTAACAGGCATAGGAAAATAGTTAATTGATGACAGGTACATGTTTATGTGTGTAAAATTAGATCTGGTGACATCATTCCCAGTAATGGCTGGCCTCATGGTAATTTAGTCTCACTAATATTTCCAAAGGACTACTAGAAGATCTGTAGTCACAGCTGGACTAAGTCTGGCACTGAAAAGAAATTTGTGCACTTCCTGATGAGTGCTCAAAATGTAAATCTGAGAACCTACATACTGTTTCATTTAGTTAATGCAATAAAACTGCTTATTTTCTTCTTTTCCAACAGAATTTTCAGGAACTCTTCCCAAAAAGTGACCAAAGGGACGCTTCTGGTAAGCCATGAAGGAAATGCGGTTATTTAGAATGTCATTCCGCTCTGACCAACAAAGCCACACGCTCCGAATATCTTCACACCCTTTATTCTTCTTGGTCCCTGCGCCATTTAATGGATTCAATATTTCGTATTTGCTTGGTAACATTTGGAAACTTAATTCATTAAATATATATAGTTCTTTAGCTGTGCGTGGCGCTACGGTCTATTTCAGATTCATGCATTTCGGGGTCTATATCCATCTTTCATTTCATACTTAATGACTACTAGGTGCCAGGCACCATTATAGGGTACAAACATGATTAAGACTGAACCCTTGCCTTCAGTGAGCTTACAGACTAGTGAAAGGAGGTGAGCATACAAACCAAAAAGTCTCATGACGTTTTACATAGAGGTATTCTGCTGGAAGGTTGTACGGGATAAGGTAGGCCGAGCAAAACCCTTAATTAATAATACGTTTGGCAATGGAGGTGAGCACTGCATCCCAGAATACAAGTTTCCAGTTGTGGATACTCACTCAAAGGCTATGTATGTTACAAGAGTAACGGACAGAAAAATTGATGAAAGCCCACAACCAATATACGTGATAAACGTCAGAGCCATCATTTGAGCAGGCGGTAAGGATGTTCGAGATAGGTCCTGGAAGAGAAAATGTTGCTGTCAATGATCAAATGTTTTTAAATAAAATATAAAATGAAATAAAAATTAAAAAGAATCATGTATTGAGTGCTCTAGATGCTCATGCATAGTCTGTTCAGCAAACCTATGAGGTAGGCACAATTATTATCAGCAGGTAAAGAGAAGGAAACTGAGGCCCAGAGAGGTTAAGTAACTTTCCCAAGGTCACATAGCTAAGAAGTGGGGGAGCCAGGATTCAAATTTGGGTCTGGCTGATTCCAGAGCCCATACACTTAACCACTGCATTCTGGTGCACGGGAAGAGCACTGGAGTAGGAGCCTAAAGACTTGAATTTGACTCCTGGCTCTTAAATTTCTTAGCTCTATGACTGCAGACAATTACTTAACAAATGAGTCTTAATTGTGCCTTCAATAAAATGACAATAACAGTCTCCCATTTTACCTATCTTGCAGAACTACCGGGAAGATTAAGTAAGATCATTTATGTCAAAGTGTTTTGTAAATTTTAAAGTGCACTGCAAATTAAACAATTGTTATCACCTGTTTTAGGCTGCGTTCACTAGTCCTCTTAGCTATTTAAAAGAGAAAAACTTAAATATAAAAATAGAATGTGAAAAAAAATACTTGTATTCCATGTACAAGTATTTTCCTTTAGTAGTTTGGAGCCCTGGTGGCAAAGTGGTTAAGAGCTTGGCTGCTAATCAAAAGGTCAGCAGTTTGAATCCACCAGGCACTCCCTGGAAACCCTATGGGACAGTTCTACTCTGTCCCATAGGGTCGCTATGAGTTGGAATCGATTCAACAGCAACGGGTTTTTTGCTTATTAGAAGAGTAGTTTCTTTGGTTTATAAGTCTGCCACAAGATCATGATATCTGCTGACATGTCAAAATCATTCATCACATTAGACATCCAGCTACCTCTCAGAGAAAGACTCTAAGGCTACATGTTGTTTTAGCTGCCATCAAGTTGGTTCCTGACTCATGGCAACCCCATGCACAACGGGATTGGACTGTTGTGATCCACTGGGTTTTCATTAGCTGATTTTCAGAAGTGGATCTCCAGGCCTTTCTTCTTAGTCTGGAAGCTCCACTGAAACCTGTTCAGCATCCTAGCAACACGCAAGTCTCCACTGACAGATGGGTGGTGACTGTGCATGAGGTGCACTGGCCGGGAATTGAACCCAGGTCTCCTGCATGGAAGGCGAGAACTCTACCACTGAACCACCACTTCCCTCTGGTATATTACCAATAGGACACTGAAGCTTGTAAGGTGGCTGCAGGTACAGATGGTTTCATTCAGCTTCTTGTCTCGGACGGAGCAGCCATCGGATGACCAGCCTCCTCTGCCACCTGTTGGCATTAGGAAGAGTATCTGTCCTGTCAGCATGGCCACAGTGCCAATGACCCCTCCCCCACCTCCCCAAACCCCCTCCTCCTTTCTCCCCCCATCCACTCAAGACTTTGAAAAGGTATGACTGGAACCTACCATTTCTGCCCAAGTCCCAAAATACACATCTCACTGTTAAGTCATCCTGCAGTAGAAACAAACATTACCAATAATTAATTTACTGAACTGAAAATACAGAAAAGCAATGGAAAGAAACCAGGATATTTTTATTTCAAAATACCATGCTTGATTTTGGAGGGAAGGTTCTTATTTTCTACTAGAAAATATCTTACACCCAGAAGCAAGTGAGCCCCATATAGGTCAGCACTTCTTAAACTCCCCAACTGTGCATATGAAGCACCTTGGGTCCTTGTTAAAATGCAGGTTCAGACTCAGCAGGTCTAGGATGGGGCCTGACATTGTGCACTTCTAACAAGGTCTCAGGGGATGCTGATGCTGCTGGTCCAGGGACCACACTTTGAGTAGCGAGATCAGAGACGCTTCTCAATGTGAACTGAGCTAAGAGATGTTCTTTCTCTCTTTGGAAGTGAGAATGAGACCTGCAGTCACACACACTGAAATTCAGCCGTTGATAAAGGCTTGCTTTCTTGCACCGTTCCTTCTTGGAAATTAGGTGCTCACTTATTGTTGTTTGCTGTCATCAAGTTGGCCCCTGACTCATGGTGACCCCACGCACAACAGAACGAAATGCTTCCCGGTCCTGTGCCATCCCCGTGATGGGTGGCAGATCAGACCGTTGTGATCCATGGGGTTTTCACTGGCTAATTATCAGAAGTAGATTGCCAGGCCTGTCTTCCTAAACCATCTTAGTCTGGAAGCTCTGCTGAAACCCCTTCAGCATGGCAGCAACATGCCAACCTTCACTGACAGATTGGTGGTGGCTATGCATGAGGTGCACTGGCCAGGGATCAAACCTGGGTTTCCTGCATGGAAGGTGAGAATTCTACCACTGAACCACCACTGCCCTCCCCGTTCCCCTATCAGTTATCAGACGTGCTAAAACCCAACAGAATGCCTCCATGATTCTGGCGGTGGTGGAAAGCCATTCTTACACGCTACCCTGACTGAGTTTCAGGTTCTGCTGGATCTGCCTTTGTACGACCAAGCCTTTTAAAGGCATGGTCAACGAACAGGCTGGACTGGCCTCTCCTCACCTGGTTCGGGCTGATGTGCTTTAGTGAGATTGTCACGTTTCTTGTCAAGTTTGTGACGGTCAGGTTAGCAACACTTGAGGATATGACGTAGCTGATCAGAGAGAGGTTTTCCAGGTAAGGGTCCTAGAACACCAAAGAATCAACAAGATGGCAAGGGAAAATGAAATATCATCAAAGAGTTTTAGAGCTTGAAAATACTCCTCAGGACTACTGACTCTACATTTCTACTTTACCTCCCTAGGTCACAAGTTGAAGGTCAGCGAGTCAAGTGACCTTCTCAAGGTTCCACAGTTAGAAGCACAGCCCATTTCACTATACCCAAAACCCATTGCTGTCGAATCGATTCTGACTCCTAGGAACCCTGTAGGACAGAGTAGAACTGCCCCATAGGGTTTCCAAGGCTGTAATCTTTATGGAAGCAGGGCTGCTACATCTGTCTCCCACGGAGCGCCTGGTGGGTTCGAACCACTGACCTTTCAGCTAGCAGATGAGCGCTTAACCACTGCACCACCAGGGCTCCCTCATTTCACTATAAGATGCTCTGAATACAGAATCAAAGTGCACCTATGGACACAATGGGACCCTCGTGAATCTTTAAGGGAAACATAACATTCAACCACTGAGGCTGCGTGCCCCTGAGCAAGTTACTTAGCCTCTCTGGGCCTTCATTTTCCCATCTATAAAATAAAGATAATAATGGTTCCTCCCTCACAGGGTTGCCGAGAGGATTCAATGAGTAAATGTTTGTAAGTGCTCAGGACAGTGCGGGGCACTTGGTAGTGCTACGTAAGGGTCGATTATTGGGATTTATCCTCCTCCCCATTATCAGGTGTTTAAAAATACACTCCAGCTTTGAAGCAATTCACTTGACTTAGAGCAGCCTTAAGAATATTTAAGGATTAAAAGAAACAACCCCGCTCCCCCCCGCCACCACCCACACCAATAAAACCCACACCAAAAGCAGCTGGCGGCAACTTTACCTGAAATAGGGCAGGTGTTTCAAAAAAGTTGAACTGAACCCTGGAAGCAAGCTCCACATCATCCGCTGGCAAATCACTCAGCAGTGAGGCAGGGAGAGTAATCATGCCAATACTATTCTCAGGTGCTTCCGTTTCCAGGGAAACCTGGAAAGCCAGTGAAAGGTAAGAAATCTGTCTGGAGCCGGTATAATGAAAAAATGGAAAATGTAAGAGCGCATTAAGGCGGAGGATCCTGCAAAAGGGCCTTCGGTCTGCGGTGGTGCCTCTATGTAACATGGGTTCTACTTCGGGTTCTCTGGCTGTGGCTCAATTAAAGAAAACAAACAAGCCAGTTGCTGTTCAGCTGACTCCAACTCACGGTAACCTCCTGTGTGTTAGAGTAGAACCGGGCTCCATGGGGTTTTCACTGGCTGATTTCTCAGAAGTAGATTGCCAGGCCTTTCTTCCGAGGTGCCTGTGGGTGGACTCGAATCTCCAACCTTTTGGTTGGCAGCCGAGCACATTAACCATTTGCACCACCCAGGGATTCCTCAATTAAAGAAGAGATGAGGCCTCCAAGCAGGAAAGGCAACATTTTAAGGTTACACAGAAACAGCGAAGAGGTGCAGGGTAATTGCAGACCCCAGGAAGACCACAGCGGCACACACGCCAACTTGGTGACCTGTTTAGGGTAAAGTCTTCATAGAACCACATACACTAAGCTTGTAAGGGAAGGCTATGAAGATTAAACAGCAAGACTATTGGTTTTACTTGGTAGTTTCCAGCCTCCAATCTAACAGGTGGATAGAAAACACTAGAGGATCGACAGTCACCAGTCTACACAGTGTAGGAGCCAGGTTGTTGTTCGGTGTCGTTGAGTCGATTTTTGACCCATAGTGACCCCATGTGACAGAGGAGAACTGCACCATAGGGTTTTCTAGGCTGTTGTCTTTACAGAAGCAGATCACTAGGTCTTTCTCCCGAAGAGCTGCTGGGTGGGTTCGAACCCCCAACCTTTCGGTTAGCAGCTGAGTGCTTAACCATTTGCGCCACCAGGTCTCCCTAGAGTAGCCATAACACTTGTTAAAATATTAAAATGGGTTGATAGGTAGCTGATGTCCCTGCTTCTCCAACTGCATAGGATCCTCCTCCCCCTGGACACTCCCTCCCAAACTTCCACAATCCAGCTGCTAAAGGATTAACCCAGGCCACAAAAGGGATCTCCTGGATCCTGCTCCAATTTCTTTTTTGAGTCTGTGGGGCCTCATTGTTCCAGATTGTTTAATATTTTGCTTATCACCCCAAACTATAAGCAGTAATTGCCTCAATCATGAAGTACAAGAGACGACAATCATATACAAGAAATTTTTCCACAATAAATGACAGTGTACCTGAAGATTTTCAGGGTCTTGGGCTGCAAAGGTAGTTGTGTTGAAATCACTGGCATTCACTCTGATCACGGCCAGAGCCAAAGAAGGGGAGGTTAGACTCATGGACTTGTTCGAAAAATTCAGTTGTAAGCCAATGTCATCCACCACTTTCAGCAATCTGTAAAGATACATGGCCGTTCAAATTCAGCACTCTCACTTTGTTTTTGTTTTTCCAATCTACGCAGAATATAGAGTAGTAACTTGAGAAGTCATTATAAACCTAGGACTTGGGAGAAAAGTTGTGGTTAGCTGCCATCAAGTCAGCCTGACTCATGGCACTGCCATATACAACAGAAGGAAATGCTGCCCAGGCCTGTACCATCCCCATGATCGGTTGCAACTTGGACTATTGTGATCCATAGGGTTTTCACTGGCTGATTTTCAGAAGTAGATCACCATGTCTTTCTTCCTAGTCCATCTTAGTCTGCAAGCTTGGCTGAAACCTGTTCAGCATCATAGCAACACATAAGCCTCCAATGACAGATGGGTGGTGGCTGCACTTGAGGTGTACTGGCCAGGAATCGAACCCAGGTCTCCCACATGGAAGGTGAGAATTCTGCCACTGAACCACCACTGACTCTATTGGGAGAAAATTACTTGGCTATAATTAATCATGGAAAAAGCATCTGCATCATCAGCCGGTCTCCTCCCACCACCACATCAGTTTACAAAGTCATACCTTTGAGCCAGAGGGGCCAGCAAGGCTGGTGGGGAATGCAGGAGTTTGCTAACTTGGTTTATCATTTCTCCTGCGAGATCAGGCTCCAAGCTGCCTGACGACAAAGCCTTCTCCATCTGGGACACTTGGTTCTCAAGTTCCGAAGCACTGGCACTGCTGGTAGCAACGATTTCTATAACAAAGAGCCAAATCATTTTTGGAACACAGGATGGAAAAATCACTAATAAAGGTAAACACACACCTATGACCTGGCAAACCCATTCCCAGGTATCTGCCCCAGAGAAATAAAAACATGTGTCTTAAGACTTGTTCATGAATGCTTATAGAAGCCTTCTCCATAACAGCCCCAAACTGAAAACAACTCCAATGTCCATCGAGTGGAGAACAGATAGACTGTGGTACATCTATACAACGGAATATTATTCAGCAATAAAAGCAAATGAACTACTGATACATTCGACAACAAGGATGCAGCGCTAAGTCTCCGGTGCATTATGTGAAAAGAACGAAGCCAGACTCAAAAGGCTCCATACTGTATGATTCACTTCATGACATCCTAGAAAGTCAAAACTATAGGGAAATAAAACAGACCAGTGGTTGCCAGGGACTGGGGGCCTTGGTGGTGAGGAGGTGTTGACTACAAAGGGACATAAGGGAGCTTTGGGAGTAGTGGAAATGTTATCTATGTTGATTGTGATGATGGTTACACGGCTGTGTCTATCCAACTTCATTACCATTACCATTACGCACAGCAACCCTGTAGGACAGAGCAGAACTACCCCATAGGGTTCCTAAGGCTGTAATCTTTACGGAAGCAGGCTGCCACATCTTACTCCCACGCAGCGGCTGGTGGATTCCAACTGCCAACTTTTTGGTTAGCAGCCAAGTGCTTTAACTATTGCACCACCAGGGCTCATAGATGAGTTTTACTGTATGTAAATTATACTTCAATAAACCTGACTCTCCTTCTCTCCCTCTCTCTCTCTCTCTCTATATATATATATGCACATCAACTGCCAGTGACTATATTCTGCTTAGACTGGGGAAAAAAAAGTGGGAGTGCTGAATTTGAACTGCCACCTATCTTTACAGATTGCTGAAAGTGGTGGATGGCATGGCCTCTAAAAAAAAACAAACCCATTGCCGTCGAGTCGATTCCAACTCATTTTTCATATAGGCACGCGTATACATGTATTTGTATCATGTGTACAGGATATGTGGGTCACTAGAAGCTCTTTTGTGAAAAAGAGAATATCATGAAATGAACAGCTGGGACTATCAGCTGAAAGTAGGGCAAATCTAAAGTCACTTGGCAGAAGCTCCAAAGCTCCTGGGGGTGTTGGCACCGTGGTAGAGAAGGCAGGGACCCATGCCACCAAAAGCCAATTCTAGAGGTAGAACTGCTTCTTACTCACAGAATTGAAACTCCAGACAATACCCAGAATTCTTTGTTTCTTTCCCTCTTCCTTTTATCTCTTTACTACTAAGCGTACTTTGTGACTACGTCACTTGTTGCGCTTGCCAAGGCCTTCTCATGTACACTGTTATTCTCGAGCTAGTGCAGTTAGTGTGATCATTTCAATCTCGAATCAGAACGGGCTGCGGCTGGTCTCCGATCACACTGCTTGTGAGGGCCTGTGTAGACCTGTACCCAGGGCTTCCAGATGTGTCTCCCTTCCTCAGGGTTACCGTGGCTCAGTCTCAGCTCTGTTACTCTGTGACTGACTGATTTTCAAGAATACCAATTTTTTTCTTTGGCCTGCTGAGTGGAACTACTCTGTTCAATAGTTTAAAAGTTTTCTCCTCAGAATGTTAAAAACAGTGACCCGACACCTTTCTCGTAGGAGAAAGGAAACTATAAAACAACCATCTGAATAAAATGAGATCTCTACTTGCCTCTTAGTATTATTTCTCTACTATCTTGGTCAAACCAATTGAACTCAGCCATGTCTATCTTCTATGAATGCCTGAAGGAAAGCTCTCAGAATCAAGGAACGTGCAACGTGATCTTACTACAGATACCTTGGTTTGGCAAGCTGGTGGCTGCATCTCAGGTAGCCCAAATTACAACAAACTGGGGCAGCTTCTCATACTTACCTGTATATTCAGGAGATGGGCTGGTTGTGATGACATTCATAGGAGCAGACGTGGTAGGAGAAGCAAGTGAGGGTTTCACGGGCAGTGGAGTGGAAGAAAAATTGGTTTGGGGCGTAGAGGAAGAGATGGTTCCAAAGTCGGGGGGCACATCAACAGTAGAGCTGGGAGCTATGGCAGCCGAAGGCTGGGGAGACGGAATGTGAATCTCTGTGGTTGGAGAAGGGGATTTCTGGGTCACAGGTGGATGATCTAAGGGGTCAGCCAAAGAGAAGGCACTGGCGACGTGGGATATAGTCGTGGCCTGAGGAGCACCTGGGATAGGTTTGCTGGAAGAAGAAAACGGTGGGCCATGTGGAGGCCCAGGGAGACAGACGACGGGATCCTGTAGATCACTGAAGGAAAGAATCAGAGAGAGGCACATGAGTTACAAGTGAACTACGGAGAGGCTTCCTCTTCCTCTGGCAACCAACTGACCACAGCCAAGGTGATGTGGCTACCTCGGGAACCTGCCACTCCCAGCCCCTGCCATCTCAGGCCCTCTCTGCACCCGCCACAGGCCCCCTGCCCCACACTTCCACCATATGCTCCCTGGGAGAGGAATTAGCAAAGGGGTTAATAGTAGAGCCCCAGCCAGACATGGGGCCACCACAGTGCAGGTTCGGCCTCTTTTTCTATGTCCTGCTGCTTCTTCTTCACAGCTCTCTGAATGGGCAGCCTTCAGAGGTCAGTGGAGCTGCCTCAAAAGGGCTATATGGTCTCCTGATCCTATCCTGATGCTTCCAGAAATTCTATCCTGCCAAATGGGCCTCAACCCTTCAGCCTAGTGGAGCATATTAAGTTTAAAACTCAAACACTCTTTACTTCTCATTACAGAAAATGCTAAAAATCCTTAACTAAAGACCTTTAAAGAAGCCCTGGTGGCGCAACGGTTAAGCGCTTGGCTGCTAACTGAAAGGTTGACAGTTTGAACTCACCCAGTGGCTCAGTGGGAGAAAGGCCTGGTGATCTGCTCCTGCAAAGATTATAGCCTAGAAAACCCTATGGGGCAGTTCTATTATGTCACATGGGGTCTCGGTAAGTTGAAAATCTACTCAAAGGCACCTAAAAGCAACTACCTTTAGCAATTCCTCAAGGCCCAATGTTTTAATACATTCAAAAACATATGGCCCACACAGGGTAGACAAGCTGCACTTAGCTTTCTTGTACCACGTGAGGAGATTCAAATTTAAAAAGCATATCCTTTTTTTCAAATACAATTTTTATCTGATCATAGAAGCTACAGAAAATGCTGCATACTTAAAAAGAAAATATCAACCCTAATGCCAGTAGGTAGGCCAATTACTGAAATCCACTGTGAATATTTCACTTGTTTACTTCCCATTTTTTTCTGTGTATGCCTGTACTCACACCAAACGTGATTTTCGGAACCATCTGCTATTCTGAATCATCCCTCTCCCAGCTTCTCTCCATTGAGGAGATACTTTTATGTAGTGACTCTCAGCTACAGCTGCACATTAGAAACACCTGGAGTGGGGGCTTTAAACCCCCTTAATGCCTAGGCCATACCTCAGATCAATCAAATTGGAATCTCTGAGAACAGAGGCTGGGTAGCAGTATTTTTGTTTTAACTCTGTATTTTGAACTAATTTTAGACTTATAAAAATACTGCAAAAATAGTATAGAAGTTCCAGTGTATCCCTCAGCCATCTTTCCCCAATGTTAACATCTGAAGTCCAGAATTAGACCCAAATACATATGAAAGTTTTATATGTGACAGAGGTGGCATCTTAAATCGCTGGGGAAAAGATGGACTTTTTTTTTTATTGTGCTTTAGGTGAACATTTACGGTGCAAATTAGTTTCTCATTCAAAAATTTATGCACAAATTGTTTTGTAACATTGGCTGGAATCCCCGCATTGTGTCCGCACTCTCCCTTTCCATTCATCCAGTTTCCCAGTCCCTTCCTGCCTTCTTGTCTTTACTTTTGGGCAGGTCTCATATACTTGACTGAAGTAAGAAGCACGTTCCTCACGTGTGTTATTGTTTGTTTTATAGGCCTGTCTAATCTTTGGCTGAAAGGCAGACTTTGGGAGTGGCTTCAGTTCTGAGTTAGCAGGGTGTCCAGGGGCCATAGTCTCGGGGTTCCTTCAGTCTCTGTCAGACCAGTAAGTCTGGTCTTTTTTTGTGAGTTTGAATTTTGTTCTACATTTTTCTCCCGCTCTGCCCCTCTATTGTGATCCCTGTCAGGGTGGCTGGTGGTGGTAGCCAGGCACCATCTAGTTTTTCTGGGCTCAGGCTGGTGGAGGTTGTGTTTCACGTGGTCCATTAGTCCTCTGGACTAATATTTTCCTTGTGTCATCGGTTTTCTTCATTCTCCTTTGCTCCAGACTGGATGGGACCAATGGATGTATTTTAGGTGGTCACTCTCAAGCTTTAAGATCCCAGATGCTATTCACCAAAGTAGGATGTAGAACATTTTCTTTATGAACTATGTTATGCCAATTGACCTAGATGTACCCTGAGACCATGGTCCCCAGCCTCAGCCCCAATAACTCGGTCCCTCAAGGTGTTTGGATGTGTCTAGGAAGCTTCTGTGATTTTGTGCTGACTTCTCCTATACTGTGTGTTGTCTTTCCCTTCACCAAAGTTAATACCTGTCTACTATCTAGTTAGTGATTTCCCCTTCCCACCAATCCCCTCCCTCGTAACCATCAAAGATTATTTTTTTTCTGTGTGTAAACCTTTTCTTGTTTCTTTATAATAGTGGTCTCATACAATATTTGTCCTTTCTTGATTATTTCACTCAACATAATGTCCTCCAGTTTCATCCATGTTGTGAGATGCTTCGCAGATTCATCATTGTTCCTTACCATTGCATAATACTCCATTGTGTGTATGGACCATAGTTTGTTTATCCATTCATCTGTTGATGGGCATCTAGGTTGTTTCCATCTTTTTGCTATTGTGAACAATGCTGCAGTGAACATGGGTGTGCATATGTCTATTCGTGTGACAGCTCTTATTTCTCTAGGATATATTCCTAGGAGTGGGATTGATGGATCGTATGGTATTTCTAATCCTACTTTTTTTTTCATAGTGGTTGTACCAAAAGATGGACTTTTTAATAAATGGTGCTAGGATCACTGGGTAGACACATTTGGAAAAAGATAAAATTAAATCCATACCTCACACCATACACAAGAATAAACTCCACATGAATTAAGGATCTAAATGTAAAAAATAAAACCATTCAAGTACTAAAATAAAAAAAAAGAGAGAGTGAATTTTTCTACATGCTGGCGTAGAGACTTTCTAACTATGCCTCAAAACCCAGAGGCAATAAAAGACCGACATATTTAACAACATAAAAATTTTTCTTTTAATTTGTGCAACAAAAAACATCATAAAGTCAAAAGACAACTGACAAACTGGAAGAAAATATTCACAACACATACCACAGGCAAAGGGCCAATATCCACAATATATAAAGTATGGAAAATGGTTCAAACTCACTCTTAATAAGAGAAATGTAACTGAAAACAACACCATTTTTCATCCACCAGACAGGCAAACATGAAAATATGACAACACATTCTCTTGGTGAGACTGTGGGGAATCAGACAGTTTTACAACTCCCAGGTGACTCCCATGTGCAGCCAAGCTTGAGAACCACTGGTCTAAGGCAATGGCCCAAATGGAAACTTGAGACAACAGAAAACTGTGTACCTTCTCTAAAATTGAAAGTCCTTCTTCCCTCCTGAAATTCCCAAAATTCTTAGCCAGCATGGTGATTCAATGTTGCTTTTTTAGGAAAAGGGTCGGGACGTTTGCTACATACCACTGCAGTTTTTCTAACTCTTCCGGGGACGAGGGGCAGGGGGTCCTGGCAGAGCAGCAGCACTGTTCTGGAGGAGATAAAGGAAAAGGAAGAAATGCAAGGTCAAGAATAAGGCAAGGGAGATGCTCAGAGACATCAAGTATTACACTTCTTACACTGGCTGCATTTTTCAAGAGCATTTGTCTAAAACAGGTGATAAAGTAGGGTAGATATCATTATATGGACTAGTATAGTAAGTGCTCAAAAGTACTTATTGAATGCTTTTTTTTCTGTTATATGCATCCGATATCAATTACTGTTCAGTAACTCCTAAGAGGAATTGAGATGTAAATATATCCGAGTAGCCATCCATCGAACTCTCCGAATAGAATTCTCTCTCTCAATACGTTTGTTGTTGTTGTTGTTTTTCTTTCATGTTTTCAACTACGATACACTTAAGCTTTATTAGGAGTTCCTGGGTAGTGTAAATAGTTAATGTAGTCAGCTGCTAACCAAAAAGTTGGAGGTTTGAGTCCACCCAGAGGTGCCTCGAAAGAAAGGCCTGGCGATGTATGTCCAAGAAACCAGCCACAGAAAACCCTACAGAGCACAGTTCTACTCTGACACGCATGGGGTTGCCGTGAGTCAGAATCGGCTCAATGGCAACTGGTTAGGCTTTATTAGAAAGCAGGAAAAAATAACCTTCTAAACCAAGAAAACCAAACCCGTTGCTGTCGAATCAACTCCGACTTACGGGGCTCTAAAAATTGCCCAAGGACAAAGAAGCCAAAACAGAAAGCTACAACATACGTAAATGTGTTAATTATATTTTCATTTAAAAACACACCAAAAGCCATGTGAGAATGAACATAGCAATAAAGGTAGAGACAACTTACCCATTGATTGAATCTTCACTCTTTTCAAAGCAACCACTATAGCACATACGTTCACTGTATTATTCAGTTTTATTGTGAATGTACAATTTAATGTGCTGTAAAGAGAAATATACATGTATATAAAACCAGCATGCTACTATACTGGAAACCTACCTACATATCTTTGTTTTTCAAAGTTGGAGTGGGAAAAGGGGACACTGATACCGTTAACTTGCAATGTCACCCTAAGCTGGTAAACACCCACCTACTATGGTCTAAAGTTTACCTGAAAGACTCTCCTAAGAGGTATATGTAGAGGTTCACATTCCCAGAGGATGCAAACCAGAACCCCTATGACCACTCACAGCTGCTGATTGGTTTTGCCTGCACAATGGATGAGGAACAGGTGACACTTGGTTGCAAAGACAAGCACCTTGATAGCTATAGTCTTACCCCCAGCTGGCTGCTTGCCTGGTGTCTATAGGCATTTTGAGTTTCCACCATGGGAAGCCTTTCACAACCAGCCTAAACGAGTATCAAGGTCTCATAAACTCAAAATCTGGCAATTCAATCTAGGTTACCAGAAAATGAGATCAAATCCCTGCTAGCAACGGAAGACATTCTCTGTTTCTCTATTTTAGTTCTGATCTAGGTGAAAAGAAAAATTGAAGAGAAGGTAAGTGAAATGAACTACGTACATATAGTGGATAAGGATTCAATGTACAATTTCATAGAAGATTTGCTATTGTTTGTAACAATGAATAGTTTGATGAGTAGAAACTGTCATTTTCTAGGACTTCACATGGAATGTTCCAGGTTCAGAGAGTGAGATTATTACCCTTTCTACCATTGCCTTATGCATCCAGGACAGACAATGGACACAACTTAACATGGTAATCTGTAGAACCCAAAATAACTGTTGGACAAACTCTGAATCTCCCTCATATGTACTTTTTCATTTACTTTCTCTTTTTTTCCCATCTTTTCCTTCCCCTTCTCTCCTTCTTCTCCCAAGCCCCATATTATGTCCCTTCTTCTGTCCGGCCTTCACCCTGCTTGGGTCACGGTGAGCCATTTCTCAGCCATATTGGTGGCCCTCAGGCTTAAGGACCCTGATAATCCTTAGCCTCACAGAACCAGAAGCAAACGGCCTGCTACCCACCCCTCTGTGCCTCATGAAGAAAGGAGAAGATGGATGGGAAGGAGTGATAAGTCCTTGGAAAAATAAAACCATATAAATCCAAAATGTCATTCATATGTATTTATTTTAGAAGAATGCCTTTGCATTTGCAACTTAACTAAGACTCTTCAATACTTCATTTCTCATGAATGGATACATAATGATATTTCTAAAAGCATTAAAAATGACTGACCTTTGAGCTTCTGCTGTAGCACACACTATAAAGTAAGTCTGCAATGAAAAATATGTATAAAAGTTACATTGACAGTTGGAAATGTCAGACAAGATCCAAGGCTAATCACAGCATGACAGAATCTTAGAATCCCAAAGACCCCTAGGGATCATCCAATGCACCTCCCTGCCAGATTCCTGACGTATCACCAAAGCTATTCAGGGCATACAGGCTCTGCTTGGGTACCTCCAGCAACAGGGAGCTCACTATCATACAGGGGCACTCATTTTCCTGGAGCTTTTAAGGAACTTTTGGTCTTACACTGAGGAAAATCTACCTCCTTGTAATGTGCATCTGCTGCTCCTAGTTCTGATTTTTGGAGTAATGGAGCTCATTTGTTTATTCTTTTTACATGACATATTTGGGAGGATTTGAAGACATATCTCCCCAGGAAGGCAGAACTACATGTTCCCTCTCCCTGCACCAAAAAAAAAAAAAAAAAAAATTATTAACAAAGTACAAGACAGACTATGATTACCTCACTTAGGGTTTGCAGGGTTTTGTTGAGTTCTGATCGTCTGTTAAAAAAAGAGAGAGAGAGAAAGAAATTGACATTAACAACACCATTAATCTATTACCATCAAGTCAATTTTGACTCATAGCGACCCTATGGGACAGAGTAGGACTGCCCCATAGGGTTTCCAAGGAGTGGCTGGTGGATTCGAACTGCCGGCATTTTGGTTAGGAGCTGAGCTCTTAACCACTACACCACCAGGGCTCCAAGGACACCATCAGAGATGCTAAATGTAAAACAAGTTAGATTTTTAGCAATTAAATTCAGTTCACTTTGAAGAAACATTGGAAATAATCAGAGATTCCTATGTGGGAAAAATAAATTATTCATGTAACAAGTGAAAACTAAGCAGGCAGAAACAGTACCGGTTCTAGCTACAAGCAAGATATAAACTGTGGTTGAACAATCTTGTCATTCATTAGGTTGCTGCAGCCCGGAGGCATCTTCCTCTGGCTGGGGACCAGAGGAAGAGCTGGCCCCGGGCAAAATTTCTAAGAGGGACAAGCTGCTCACCCTGGGGGCCAACTGACCTAGCTCTGCCCTCCCTCTCCTCACAACTTCCGTTTAGGAATCTCTCTCTTATTCCTCGCCTCCAACCCGACTCCCACAACACTTTTATTTCATCCATGTGACAGAGCTTCACATGAAGTGAGTACGAAAGAAATCTAATTAAAAGAGTTCACTCTAAAACAGTGGTTCAACCTGGGGTGACTCTGCCCACCCAGGGGATATTTGGCAATGTCTGGAGACATCTTTGGTTGTCGCAACTGGGGAAGGGTGCTAATGGCATCTAGTGGGTAGAGGCAGGGATGCTGCTCAACATCCCACAATGCACAGGACAGCCCCCTACCCGCAAGAAAGAATTATTAGTCCAGAATGTCAACAGTGTTGAGGGTGAGAAACCATGCTCTAAGGGATGGGCAGTAGTTCTAGGTAGCTCCAGGGATGGGGTGGAGGCAGGCAGTTCCTTGGCAGTGGTCAGGTAGCTTCTCAAGCCAGCAGTAGCCACTCCTCTATAACTGTGCTCAAAGGCTGCCTTCTTTCTGGAGTTTTCTCTGGCCCTTAAAGCCAGGTCTAACCACTCCACCTGCTCTAGACTCAGACGTTCGGAACATCCTCTGCTACCCTGTCCATGACACCTTCACTGTAGGAAGCAGACTGTACTGTTATCATTTGTTTGCATCCTGAGTCTTCCCTTCTAGACTCTAGACCCCTGGTTCTCAAACTTGGCTTCCCGCTGGAACTACCTGGGGAGCATAAAAAAATACGATGCCGGGGTCTCACACCCCAACCTCTGATTTAATTGTTACGGAGTGTGCCTGGGCATCAGGATTTTTTAAAGCTCCCCGGATGATTTTAATACGCAACCACGGTTGAGAACCACTAGTCTACACTCGGTATTCCATCACAGAAGAGTTGAATTTACCCCCATTCGTATTCTCAAGGCCCAGCATATAGCTGGCACTCAATAAATGCTTAGGGTTGGGGATAGGGTTGGGTTTAGGTTAGAGTTTGGGATGGGGTTGGGTTTAGGGTTATTGTTAGGGCTTGGTTTAGGGTTCGTGTATGGATTAGAGTCAGGAGTACTGTTAGGGTTAAGATTAGGGTTAGGGTATGAGCTTAGGATATGGCTAGGGTTACTGTTAGGATTAGAGTTGGAGATGGGTAACATGAGTCACAACCCTATGTATAATTCTAATCCTAACCTGAACCCAAGCCCTAAAACAATAACCCTAACACCAACCTTAACCTTAACCCTATCACCTTAACCCTAACCCCAAACCTAAGGCTAACTCTAACCAAACACTAACCCTTACACTAGCTCTAACCCTAAATTGAAACCTAATTCTAGACCTAATCCTAACCCTAACCCTTACAACAACACTAACCTTAACCCTGAAGCAACCCCAAACCCAAACCTAACCCTAAACCTAACCATAATCCTAAATCAAGTTCTAACCCTAACCCTAACAAGAGTCCTAATGCTATGTTTAACCCTAATCCTAGCCCTAAATCTAACAAAAGCCCTAACTCTAACCCTAAACTTAACCCCAGACCCTCAACATTGCCATAACCATAATTACAGGTCTAACCCTAACACAAGCACAAATCTTATAGGGTTTTCTAGGCTGTAATCTTTACAGAGCAGATTGTCAGGTCTTTCACCTGTGGAGCTGCTGGGTGGGTTTGAACCACCAACCTTTCTGTTAACAAGGCACCTATCTGTAATGCATGTCTCATTGTCTGTGCTTTTTCTTTTAAGCCTAGGTCTACTATACTAACAAAGACCTCTCTCTAACTTTTGAATCACTGATGCTTCATGGAAGCATGAACAAATGGTATACAGCATGGAGTCCTAACTTGAACTCTTCTTTCAACCATGCTGGCTATCAAATCGTATTAAAACTCAAATACCAATTCAAATGAAGATGCCACGTCATCTTACAGCATAAACAAGGACATCCTCTCGGGGATATCAGCTGATGACAGGTGACAATGGTAAAGTTTTCAGAGAGCTCAAGAATCAATTAGCTCTACAACATTTTGTCTATTTGTCTGGCTCTTTCAGACTCTCAATTTCACACGCAAAGATAGCTCAACAAATACCTTTTCGTAGTTGATATTTTAAGTTTTCAAGCAAACAGCAGATTACTCACTTCAGTTCACTTAGAGACAGGACTCCATTTAAGGTGCCATTAGCCATATCTTGATTCTGTTAGAAGCACAAATTTATCAAGAATACAAGAAACACTGTTGTAGGTTTTGTTTTTGTTTTTCATCCTTTTAACAAGATGCTGTTTTTCAGTTTTGTTGGCCACCCAAAGAACTGTACCCCCAAAACTGTGCATCCTAACTGAACTGCATGGAATATTGTCCATTAAACCATCAAATCCATGTTGGTTGAGCCAGTTTTTGCTCATCCCCAACCGACCCTATTCTTTACAAAATATTCTGCCTATTATTTTAAAAATATTCTGGATCAGCAAGTCTGGTATACTAATTCCTGACTTTCTTCATTCCAAGGGTCCCCCAAAAAGAACACTATTAAAAGCTCGCATCATGAAAGCTCCCAGATTTAAGTAATAAGACCCTAATGTGAAAAGGGAAACCTGATAGCAATTGTCTCTGTGTTTCCAGCACCCAGCTCATTGATTGGCACATAGTAGGTGCTCGGGAAATATTCACTGAAGGAATAACCCACGTTTGGCTGGGATCCTCTGACCCCATCTAGGTTATGGGATGAACAAAATCAACTTTGGAAGACAATTCCTGGAGTCAGTGCATTATATTTCTTGCTGCTGGAAGTTTCTAGTATAATTTTAAAATTTTAACTGGTAACAGAATTGCATTGTATTAGAATTGTGTTGTATTAAGATTTTTATTCAGCAGCAAAATTAGTGAAAACTAAAATATAATTACTAACAAAGTATCATAATTATTAGGAATTAAAAAAAACAGGGATTCCGAAAATACTATCTCATATTTTATTTCAATGTGATCATAAAAGTAATGTACCAAGTATCATAATAATCTGAACCTTGAGCAAATTTTTAAATACACATGTATTCACTTTTTAAGATTGCAATAAGAAAAATCTTTAAAACCCACCTGGGTAGCATTGACTTCTTCGTGATATTGAAACATTATCTCACCTTTAAAAAATGCTAAAAAAAAATATTCAAAAAGAAATTTGAGACTTCTATCCTTAAACCTTAAGAATTATTACAACACATAAAAAGACTATCAAATTACTTTATAAATGGAGTTACATCAAATTCTTTGTTTTTATTCAAACTTTTTTTATCAGTAAGTTACTCAATGATTATCAATGTAATTTTCAAAAAATATGAACTATGAATTTTATAAAGGAATTCTAACAGTATCAGAAAAAGATAAAACTTGCCCCTTTGCCAAGAGTTACTGAGTTGTATCTCCCCAAATACATAACAGCCAGGCAACTCTACCTCTATATGCTTCCCCTAAAGATGCTAACTGGGAGCACTGTAGTTCTACTATTAACTCAAAAACATAGTTTTAAGTTGTTATAGTTGCAAGTTACATAGATGATGAAGGGAGTGAAAGCATTTTTCAACAGTTAAGAAAGATCTTATGGAAATCTATTTATTCCTTGGCATTTGTTTTGTTTTTTTACATAAACCAAAACCAAATCCATTGCTGTCAAGTCGATTCTGACTCATAGCGACCCTGTGGGACAGAGCAGAACTGCCCCATAAGGTTTCCAAGGCTGTAATCTCTACAGAAGCAGAATGCCACATCTTTCTCCCATGGAGCAGCTGGTGGGTTCGAACCTTCGACCTTTCAGTTAGCAGCTGAGCACTTAACCATGGCACCACCAAATACAACACCTTTCCTAGAAACAAACTTGAGATTTTGCTTCGAAACCTGAATAATATGGAGGGCAAATCCTCTGTTCAGGTGAACAACTCACTGTGGCTTTCACCCCAGAAACACTAGAAAAACCTCTTCTTAAAATGCTCACTTTGAGAACTGTTTGCTGCAGTGTATACTCTGAGGGGCTTTGACGCTATATGGAAGCAAATAAAATAGAAACTCCTTAACAGAAGCATGGTGTATGCTTCATAAGCTATAGGGACCGAAGTCTGGCCTCTTGAACAATAGGGCAAGGATGTCATATAAGCTAGAGCAGGGGTCAGCCAACATTGTCTGTAAAGGACTAGGTAATAAATATTTTAGATTTTGCAGGCCATATGGTCTTTGTGGCAACTACTCAACTCTGCTGTTGTAGTGCAAAAGTAGCCACAGACAATAAGTAAACAAATGGATATGGCTGTGTCCTAATAAAACTTTATTTACAAAAACAGGAGGCAGGCCGTCGTTTGGTCTGCAGTCTGCCCGTCTCTGAGCCAGAGGGTTGAAAAGTTTCCTAATCTCATCTTCTTTTACTGTACCCCAAAGTACAACTGATTCCCACAGCCATGTACCTGATGGTCCACTTACACATTATACAGTTTTTGCCAACTGCACAACCTCCTTGCACATTATCTTCCTAGGCATGCTACACGCGCTGTATGCGTGGGTGCGTTATTTGCGGAAAATATGGTTACTAATGGCCAACAAAGCCACTAGACCAGTGATTCTAACATGATCCATCATTTCAGCAACTTTTCTATTGAAGACCTCAATGTCTACATATTGATACTGAAATTTCACTTATTTTGATTAAAAGTAAAGATATTTAATATCTGCATAGAATTACTTATCCATTTTTTAAATGTTGTTTTTAGGTGCCATCAAGTTGATTCTGACTCACAGAGACCCTATATAGAACAGAACGAAACATTGGTCAGTCCTGCACCATCCTCACAATCGTTGCTATGTTTGAGCCCATTGTTGCAGCCATGGTGTCAATCCATCTCATTGAGGGTCTTCCTCTCCTTCATTGACCTTCTACCTTACCAAGCATGATGTCCTTCTCCAGGGGCTGGGCCCTCCTAATAACATGTCCAAAGTATGTGAGACAAAGTCTCGCCATCCTCACTTCCAAGGAGCGCTCTGGTTGTACTTCTTCCATGATAGACTTGCTTGTTCATCTGGAAGTCCATGATATATTCAATACTCTTTGCCAACAACATAATTCAAAGGCATCAATTCTTCTTTGGTCTTCCTTATTCACTGTTCAGCTTTTGCATGCATATAAGGTGACTGAAAATACCATGGCTTGGGTCAGGCATACCTTAGTCCTCAAAGTGACATCTTTGCTTTTCAACACTTCAAAGAGGTCTTTTACAGCAGATTTGCCCAATACAATACATCATTTGATTTCCTGACTGCTACTTCCATGGGTGTTGATTGTGGATCCAAGTAAAATGAAATCC